ATCCGCATCCAAGATTACTCGAGCTGCTCGCTTTTGCAGCTTGGATACGCGGTTAACGTTCTCTTCTGACCATGTGCACCATGCACATGAGCCATACAACATTATCGGCTTGATCAAGGCGTTGAAATAAGGCTTACCCTCAGCGAGAGGCAGGTTACGCTTAATCTTCTTCAGCACCGCAATACGTTGTGACACTTTTTTACAAATGTCATCTATGTGTTCAGCAAAACTCAAGTGATTGTCTAATTTTACCCCAAGTAGTTTCTGTGAAGTTATTTGCTCAATCTCGCTACCGTTGCATGACAATTTAAGAGGATACACGAGGAGACGTTATACCGTTGAAAACATGAAGTTATTGGTGATCCTCGTCCGAGTTAGCCTGAATTTCAGCCGCCTCCTCCGCTCGATGAGTCACTCGGGGAGAGAGACGACGTCTCCCTCCCCGAGTGACTCAGCGAGCGGAGGAGGTGGCTGAAATTCAGGTTATGTCCGAGTCAATTACAGTTCAACCGCTATTAAACGGCAACCCTCGGGGAAATGGATAGTAGCCGCTTAAAAGGGGCTGGCCGCTTAATGGAGGTAAAAACAATAGAAAAAACCTCATCTGGACTTTGATTACTGACCGCCTAATAGGGGTGGCCGTTTAATAGGTGGCCGCTTAATAAGGGTTCGACTGTATAAAGAAAGTAGGGTTTCTTGTCCGATCAGCAAAGCAAGCATAATCGGATTCTCATTTTCATTCCTATTTTTTTCGTTCTTTATTTTCCCAGGCGATATCAGTGATTTTTTTTCTTTCTTTGTTACCTTTGAGCGAAAAAAACTTATCCAACGTGTCTTGTCCGCTCAACAAAGTTAAGCCCTGTTCGGCGGGGTTCATGCATGGGTGGGTTACCAAATACGAATACCCCGTGTTGTAATACCGTGAAACCTGTATTAAGAGGACCCCATATTAAGGTAATTCCTCTGAAATAAAAGTGACGGTAGATTTTTGTTCAAACTTTGTCCACTGAATATTTGCCATATGATAACTTCAATTTTGAAATAAAAAAAGGGGCGTGCCCATGCTCATTAAGGAGCAATGAGGCATTGAAAATGCCTCATTTTGGCATTATTTAATGCTTATTATAAGAACGCATCCCTAGTAATTGTAAAATCTTTGTGAGCCCAGACTCATAAGAACACGCATTAAACTACAGTCAATGCATTGTGTCGGACACAAATAAACATCTTAAGTTTGGTTCAGACAGAAAGCTAAATCCTTGATTAAAAATTTGTACCAATTTTCTTGATGTGGTTACCGACTACAAAATAGTAAAGACCACAGTGTATCTTCTATTTTTCTTATTTATTCAATTTTCAGTGATAGAAATTAGATCAGTCTTTTCTCACGCAAAGCTTATGATTAGTTGATTACAATGACTGGAAAAAAAATTGGGGTGCCCGTGCTCGTTGGTGAGCCAGAGCCATTTTTCAACTGACAGAGCTCAATATCAGGGCAAATCCGTCATGTTTTCAATATGCGCGTGCACGAGCGCGCGCTAATGACGCCATAAATTATCCGCAATAAGGATGCGCGACGCAAATGTGAGGAATGACCTTAAGTGGACATCCTCTATTAAGTGGACACCAGCTGAAGTCTCAAAATTTCCTTCCCACATTTACTGTAAAATAAACCTGCATTCAGCGGACACCAATATGAAGCCATTTTGTTGCACGAAACCTGTAATAAGGGGACACTTAAAGGGCTTTTTACGTCTAAAAGGTTCAGTTGAAACTCCTTTAACGTTGTTCAGCGATGTCGTTCTAAAGCTAAGTGATTATTCCAGAGTGATGCATTGATTGACTCATAATCAGGATGCATTGATTGACTCATAATCAGGATTTAAGAAGAATATATAGAATGTGGTATGAATTCTCGAATTCATCACTTTTTACCAGAATGCGTTGCATTGAACCAGAGTGCGCTGCGCTACTTTTTACCAGAGTGCGTTGCGCCACGAACAACACGAGGACATCGAGCCGTCGTCCTTTTCGCGTAGGCTCCAGTGTGAAAGATTAGTGGTTATGTTTTGCTCTGATTTACCTGTAAAACGACGAGAAGGAAATTGTGCCTGAGTTTCACACGCTTTCACAACTCTTGCTTTTGTTCTTAATGCAGTATGTGAAAGTTTGTAAATCTGGACGATTAATTTTTTAAACTTAGTATGTGATTTCTTAGTAGTCTCGCCTCCTTGGCCGAATTAGTAAATGAAGAGAAATCGTCGCTCCTAAAGCTTGTAGAATAATCAGTAAAACAAACGAAAACCGTAGAACACGCTAATTCCATATATGCTGCGATCTATTCCTTTTCATCCAAACATGAATTTAAACTAAAGCTTTGTGCTTTTTTGTCACAATCCCTTATCACACCTCGTCATCGATGCGTCATCATGCATGAAGTTGTAGGTGAATCACTGCGTAAAATATGTCACCATCAACAGAATGTACCACAGCGTTATTATCTTTTAAATATCCTAGTACTATGCTAGTCTTTGATCATACACTGTGTTACACTGTTACAAGAGTTAATTGCGTTCGACAGAACGCAGTTCTAATCGCGTATTGTATATCCAGCCAGCCAGCCAATCTAGGCAGCGAAGTGAAATTCATTTCATCCTTTGATTTATTCAGCAGAAAGCAGCATTGGTTTCGGTCGAAGAGAAGAGAGTTCACAGCAAGCAGCCAAACTACAGCTTTCTGTTCGTACGAAAAGTCGTACACATTTCGTGAAGACATGTCTGAAAGGTTTTTAAATGCCATTAACTCTGACTTCGAACTTAAATAAACAACTTATGAATATCCGCGACAGTCTTCAACAAGCTGCTTCGAAAAGTCGCACACATTTCGTGAAGACATGTCTACAAGGTTTTCAAATGCTATTAACACTGACTTTGAACTTTAAATAAGCAACTTCAGTATCCGTTACAGTCCACAATAAGCTTCCTCGACACTCGAAACCGGTCCGCAATATTGCGCAACACTCGAAAGAAAGCACATGGACGAACATGGACATGACACCATTCGCCCCTGAAGAATTTGTTTTTTGGGGGGGCCAAATTGGTGTCCTCCGATAGATTAGATCTCCAAATTTTGTGCATTACGCGATTAGAACTGCGTTCTGTCGAACGCAATAATGTAAAATAATGGAAATCAATTATTAACATTTCAGTTAACCGTAACGGGAAAAAATTAACCGTTAGCCGTAAAAGGGCCAAAAATGTAACCGTTAGCCGTAAAAGCCACTACCCCATTAAGACCCTCTTACATTTGAACAATGTAAAGTTCGAAATTTCGCCGTCCACGATTAACCCATTAGACAACCCGTTACTGAAATATTATTTTCATTCCGAAACATCGAATGATTATAATAATTATACGAACAATATGTAAAATTAAATTTTATTTTAAAAATGAAATCAAACAAAAATGAATTGGTAGCAGCTCGCAAAATAAAAACAAAACAAAAACATAACGAAAAAAAAAGGAAAAAAGAACGAAAAATGAAAGTGACTGCAATGAGTGAAGGTTAGCAACTAAGAAGAGTAATCCATTCCTTCCAGTCGTTCGCCGTCAATTTAATCACGTGACTGTCCCTCATTCCCAGATTTCGTTCTTCACTGAAAACCAAGGTAGTGGCGTTCGAACTCCTTAATCAGACCTAAAAATATGGGTACACGAGTGTGATTTCTTTATTCAATTCATTATGTCAATACAAAGATATGCGTTTACTCGCTTTCTCATGAAGAATTAGTTTCCCCATGAGATAGAAATAAAAACTCTTCGGCATTGAGTTTCTTGTCTAAACTAGTTCGGACTGCTCGAGCTCTGATGACAGTGTAAACAAATACAAACACAAAATTTAAAAACATTTGGCGACGCGCGCGCTGTCTTGCGGGGCCGCTGGTCAAAACTTTATTGTGTCAAGAGCTATTTGTTACAAGTGTTGGCGATCAGAAATTGAATTCTAAGTGTCGCTAACAGTTCAAATGCATTTCCTGGAAAAAGTTTTTTCCAGTACAAGTTAATACTTAAATAATTAAAAATATTTTTACAGCAGGCTATAATCTATTCAACGCTAGTTCAACTTCACGTGCAGATCGTTATCTGACATTCGATCAAATAATCAAACTTAGTTTTCCATCGAGCCATTCGAATACAGCGCCGAAATTGTGCGTCTATGCCAGGAACAATCACTCAACTTCGTTTGTGATGTCTTCGGGCAGGTTTATGGAGGGTGTAAACGTCTTGTTGACTCAACCAATTTTCAACTTGTTTGCGAGAAATTTTAGTTTTCCCCTTCTCTTTGACTGCTCTGCACACAGCATCCAAACCACCGAAACTTGCGGGATGACTTGGATCCAGATAAATGCTGGCCAGTGTTTTCTCCAACACAAAACTCGGAGTTTTTCACGATGACTTTACCGCCGCAACAGGCTAAAACACAGCGGATGATGCGATTAAAGATCCGTTCAAATCCGATCGAGGACGAAGGTGGGCAACAACCCATCACAGTTGTGTTTACTACCAAGGTAGAAGCTCGAATGAAATTTTTCCCATGTTTCATTTATATAGCTACTCTCGAATCTGACATAGGGTGGGAACGAGGAAATCAAATTGTTCCCTTTCTTCCTCGGTCAATCCTAATGTTTCCACGAAATTTAAAAAGACCACCAATCGGCCCCAATTGATTTTTGAAAAGACTTCCGAATGGAGAGCTTTCAACTTGTCTAGCATCGATCCTGGAAGTTCACAAAATTTCTCTCTAATAGAAGTTATTTCATTTGAAGGTGTAGTTAGATTTCTCGCTATGAGGCGATATCGGTAAAAATAGATTCGAAGTATAGAGAGCGTTAGACCCATGTTAACTCGAATAGCGTCAAGCACACACTGACTTAAGGTCACGTCACGAACACACTTTATTATTTCAAAAATAAAATTTACTTTGAATTTCATTACTTACATAATCAAGGTCCAATGGTTTTTCTTTTTTTCTGATAATGTTCTCAGGACATTTCACTTCTGTCGGGTCAACGTTTATAAATTCTTCAGCGTTATCATCTTTGTGGATTTCCACACTACTGAAATCGTTCGTTTTGAGGCCACAAGGACCATAATAAAGAGCATGCAATACGCGTTCTTTCATTTCTTGATCATAATGTTCCAGTTCCAAAGAAGTGAGAAAGATTGTGGTCCAAGGCAACTTAGGCAACTGCGTCAGATGACTTTCCCATGTCTGGCTAATCTTCAACCCCAGAGTGTTGCAAACACTTTTCACAGTCTTCATCACGATATCAAGATCTATTTGCTCACGGGTTTCATCATGAAAATAGTACCACGCGTCTTCATTATCAATCATCAAGCGAGAGTGTTCCCTTTGGCCTGGGTGATGAATAGCGCAGCCATATCATCGATTTACTTTCTCTTGAGGAATGAGCTTGTCATAGAACGCGGTATAGGTAAGTTAGAAAGCATGACCAATAATTGTGGCTACTTTCTTGCGTTGGATTTGCTCAACTTCGTCCACGGTTAACATAGGTTTAGATGTGGATTCGACTTGCATGTTTGCACGCTATCCGCTCAAAAAGATTATTTACTCGAGTTTGTGACAAGAATGACTTGACCGAATGGAAGCGCGCTTTTATTTTGGAAACATAATAGATTCTCAAATAACCAATCAGTGTTGAAGGTTTTGTCAAAACAATGGGGCAAGTCCATGCGAGTTCAATGTGGCATTCTGAAGAAACCAGTTTTTGGGACTGGTTAGTCTGGATAAATCAGTTAATGAGAAACCACTGCAATTTTAATATTCCTTACGACTAAGCGGAATACGAAAAATAAAAAAAAGTAAAAAAAAAAAAAAAAGAATGGTATCGAAATCCATCGCTTTGTAGCGATCACGCTTTCATAGGCTTAAGGAAAATGTATCCAAAAATAACTTCAAAAACCAGTCAAACCGGTAATACCGACCATGACTGCCGTAAGATAAAAATAGAACATGACATCATTGATAAACCTGTCAAACCGGTTCAGAACCTGTCACTAAGCCTAAGATAGAACATGACATCATCCTCAGCACGACAATAGACAATAGCCTATGACATCACTCCCGTTAATGTATTCCACAGCAATTTTAGATCAAGTTAATTTATTCCACAGCGATACCACAGCAGATTAATGAGAAACCACAGTAAAAAAGGGGTTAATTCGGTGCGCTCTATACTACTGCAACAAGCCTGAATAAGTACGATACAAGTTCCTCGTAAGATACCCTCTACCATTAAATTTGGCAATGAATAACCATCAATACACCTGGCTACCTTCTATTCAAAAGTCAAAGACCTGAAGAAAAGGGCGGACCACCGAAAGCTCCCCGTTCGAGCGCAAATTAAAGGAGTTTCAAATAACTTAGATCCAGATTTTTCCTGCCGCCAATTGCCTAGAGTGAGGAAATTTAATCAGTGGTTATTCAACACATTCAGAATGCAAGCTGTAAGCACTCTGTTAGCAGTAGAAATATGAAACCTATTTTTAAATAAAATGAAATTTTCAACCACTCATGGTCTATTCATTTGCGTAGCTCACCTTATAGTTATATACAGTTGATATTTCGTGCAATTTCAAGCGCCAGTTTCGAGACAGTTGGTATTCCTATCTCATCTCGTTTTCTATACGAATGCAGTACATTTTAACCATTTCCTCCAATACATAAAACACACTGCTTCGTCGATTTTCGTCAACCCGCGTATTCACACTATGACTGAAATAACCCATCTATATTTTAGTGTAGGCACCTGGTTGGAGGGATAGAAGCTGGAGCACAGAGAGTCAATAGAATAAAGGTGACAAGGAGTTAGAGGCTTTATTTTGCACGAAAATTATTTTTGTAATATGCACAAGCTTCTTGAAAGGGTCACAAAATGAATGAAAACAGCATATTTCCTAAAATACAGCGGAGGTTTAGTTTTTGTGTACAGGAGAGCACTTGTAAAAAATGATTTTTCCTCTTTCGTCAATATCCTTATTATTCAGCGATATTAGATGCTGAGGTGTCATCTAAAACTCATCCTCGTGATCTCTTTCTTCTTCAGCATTGTTTCTGATAAGCATGTAATTGTCGAGGTCAATAGATCGGCAGTTGTTAATGGCATATCTTAGCTTGTCTGCCAGTTTGTCGGAGCTTGTGTAACTTGGCAGACGTAGCTGAAAAAAGCATGTTTGTGCAGTAGGAAGACTGTCGGGTTCCTGCAGGAGAATAATACACCATTACAAGTTATACCGTGCATTATTATACTATTACACCCGCTTGCAGTGTTACGTGCAGAGGCGACATCTTTCGTCCATTTTTCGACATGCTACATAAACGGCTGAAAGAACGTTTAACTGTGAAACTGGCAATATTTCCGGTTATTAGCAAAAGAAATGACAAATAAATGATAATTATTGGCCTAAAATGGTTGAAGAAGATTGTGGACTGTGCATGTTTCCCAATTTACGGGAAAATAGGCTACTTTCTATATATTAAAATTCAGCTTGATAGCGAGGTCTAGAGGACAGAAACAAAAGAAATGAATAAACACGCTCATTCAATTTCTTTTGCTTGTGTTCTCTAGGCCTCACTCCCAAACTGAATGTTAATATATGGAAAGAAGCCTATTCAAACGATGTTAATGTGGTCCATCGGTTCTCAAGAGTGACTTTCTGTAGAATTGGGCCGGTATTGCTTTTTAGTGCAGAGTGCACTATTGGGATGGTTTGGGGGTTGATGTCCGCATTGGCAATAAGGTAATGAGGCAATTAGATAACAGGGTGTAAACTTTAATATTTGTTTAATTATCATTTACCTAGTCCTCAAGCAAGAAAGTGGATGGGGAGGGTAGTTGTCTGTGTGCACTACGTTAAGACGTGCGACGCCTACCTTACTGTAATCATAATATCACAAAGCTATTTATTTGGTTTCGGAAACCCCTTGTCCTCCTTGTGGTACTATTCTCTTTACAACAAAACCAATTTTCCCTAAACGCATGCGCAGATTAGTTTGCGTTCGTGCCGACTATATATTAGGTGAAAGATGCATTTCATTTGAGATCACACATACTCCGTCTTCATTCCCAGAGCCACGTGGTGTTTTATATGTCGTGTGATATGATCGAGGACAGCAGTTTTTTTTTCGGGTAACGTCACTTCTCCCGTCTTAGCGCAAAAAACGCTACTGTGACTGAGTATCTTTTAGAATTACCCCTATCTCGGCTCAACAAATATCATCTTTGTATCATCAAACTTTGCCAGAGTTCAAAGTAAGAATGGAAACGTTTTGCTTCTCCCCAGCGGCTTATTTATTTCCCTTTCAATTGTCTCTATGAAAGAGACCAAAAAGTTCATATCTAGCCTAACTTTCCCGATTCAGTGGCATTAAAACTTGTAATTGTAAATTGTGACAAAAGAAACCAGGGAAGTGTTCAAATATTGCTGCAAATTCCGTGACACGTAATGAAAGCGTAAATTAATTTAATCAGTCTTTGAATGGACTCGTTTACCGATGTAGGATACATAATCTCGGTCAACCGAGTAGCGCAGACCTTCAATACTTCTTGTTGAAACGCTAACGCTTCTCAGTTGTATTTAACAATTATTCGCCAAAGGCGAAGTGAACATTGGTGAATATTCTCCAATGTTCACTGAGCCTGAGGTGAATAATTGTTTTAGTACAATTTTGAGAGGCCAATATCAAGAACTACAAAATAACGGACTAAAACATAAAACCAAAAAACAAAGACGCAATTGTGCATACACGTATGCAGCAGTAGTTACATGTACATCGATTGTCGCTGTGGAGGCAGCGTGGCCGAGTGCTGAGAGCGCCGGATTTGAAATCCGTAGGTCCCAGGTTCAAATCCCGTTCTAACCGCTAGCTGATGTTGTTCTCGGTAGCCCCGAGTTCAACAACTGCCTGCCTGCCTACCTGCCTACATTGTCAATCAATTTACTCATGGAGTTCGACAGTAAAACAAACGAGCGAAACACGACGAAAAATAAATTCATCCCGTACCTTTTTTTCATCTTTGTTGACTTCATTCACAGTTGTCATCATCGCCTAAAAATGAGTAACTTTAGTGTGTAGAAAAATAAATTTCGGTCAGTCGATCTGACCTGCTGGAAATCGACGCAACCACTGCGTTTACGATTCTTAAAAGTCTTGAATACGAGTTCTTGAAAAGATTTTTGGTCCAAGGGCGGCAGCAGTCATTTCAAAAATTATCCATCCTTTCAAATATCCTGGACTTGGAGTGGTGTCTTTCGAATAAATGAAAACTTAATTCAGCAACTGTGTGCCATGTTTACTTGCCGAGATAGCAAAAATGGCGAGCTTAGTAACCAAGCTCTAGCGGGGTGAATATAGCGTCATATGATGAGCTTTTCGACCAATCAGAATGTCCAATTGTTATATTCACCTCTGGAAATTATACTAATAATCAATATCACTGAGGTGGAAACTGTATAAGAACGTGGTATTTCGTGACTATTTGATGATTAAATTACTTCTTGTTTATCGGTGAAAAGAAAATTTGCGTTTTGAATGAAACACAATCGTTCTTCCATTTCCTCACAAGATATTTACTTTCTTCCATTTCCTCATAAGATATTTAACTTTGTTCCATTTCCTCATAAGATATTTACTTTCTTCCATTTATCTCTTAAGTTTTCGAGAAAACAAGGGTTTTATGTTACATACCTTTGCGAGGAAAACAAAAGTATCGAGTAACAAACGTTGGCGTGAAAAGTAAAATTGTCACATTTGCTACTAATTTTGAAATGAACAAAATCAACGTTAAACACCAGCGTAAAATTTGAAAGCGGTCTTGACAAACAGCAATTGTAAGTTATTGTTGAACATCGAATGAAAGTAAAGACATGAAACGTACGCACTGCTAAGATTGTGACAAGATCACGTCTTATCAAGGTTTCGGTCTGATCATATTAGGGAGTTTTAGCAATGACGGCGGGGACGACGCCTTGTAAAAAATGAATTAATATTCTACCTTCGAATATCGCAACTGTGTAAATCAGTTCAGTACGCCTATCGGTCTAAAAACTTGCTCAGGCTAAACATGCACCGACATCGTTCAATTCCAAAAGAAGATACGAAAAATTAGCCATTGCGGTTCGCGTTCTCCAAAATACGTAGAATTTAGTCATTTCACGTTGTTGTTTTACAGAGGACGGCAAAGAAAAGTACCAAGATTCAAAACGCACGTGCACAGCCATTATTCTGCTAATTGTTTGGTGACACTCTCGTCGCCGTCGCCGTCGTGGTTTGCTAAAACTCCCTATTCTGCAAGGGGAAAAGCCCTAGGTACCAAAGTAAATACGACATGTGTGACTATCGTGCCAGAGCTATACATTGCACTCCGCATTATCTGAGATTGTCTCACTAGTTAATATTCGCAAGGTACAATCATTCAAAACAGTCGATTTAGTTCTCCTGGAATGACTTCTTGATACTCCTTAACTTAGTTTGACGTCAATTAAACCCATCTTTCATCACCAAAATTCGAGCTGGACCGTGAAAGAAGTCCGTTGTGCTTACGTTTTGGACGTAGGCAAGGTTACATAGCATGTCAAAAGACGGCATGTTGAAAGACGTCGTCTATGCACGTAACACTGAAAGCGGGTTCAAATGCTTTTTATTCCATGCATACGTTATGTATGAGGTCTCCATTAATAGTAAGAACTTCACTTGTATTTACCACTAAAAAACAACATTTCCAGAAGTAGAAGACTGCTTTACACTGTAGTTCATAAAATAACCTTTTTGGTTTACAACTACAGCTATACAATCCCAAGTTTCAGTTACACAGTTACAGGTAGGAAAGCATATTTGAGTAAAAGTGAAACAAACTTGTTAACCCCATCTTTTTAGGGTTGTGGCTAAGTAAGCCACAGTTGTTCCTTTTATCGAGTGTTGAGTATTGATGTATAAATTTTCTCTTCGCTAATTTATCGATTTAATTATGTATTTAGTATCCATAATCAGCCTTCAAGGCTAAATCTTTTTGAATGGAAATTGTATCGCATACTCTCCTGCGAATTTGTTTCCAAAATTCCCGCGTATTTGTCAGCTAGCCTAATTCGAGATAGCGCTGCAATGCAATGTACTTGTGCTACGAAAGTGCTTGAAATTAAACATAAACCCGATGAAGAATATAAACTAGAGATAACCTTTAGCAGAAAAGTCGACAATAGTGACCAAGCCATGCTGATAAGATCGATTGGCAGCTAGGAGAAACTTGGCAAAAACTTAATGAGATGAGGTAAGCCGTACTGAGAGAAGGAGCATAATAAAGAAAGTCAATCTTATTTCAGTCAGTGTGGAGAACAAAGCGCCATAGCGGTTGCGGAAACTAAGTCTGAAAAAAAAAAAAATCAGGCTTTAACGGCTTCCAAACTATGAGTTGTACGATACAGGTGCACCGACATAAGGACATTATGTCGTTATGTTTGCAGAGTGAACATTCTCTGACTTAATGACATACCTCAAAACCACAAAGATGAAAATCAGCGCAACATTTTACCGAGTTTAGACTAAAACTTAGCGACCTTAAAAAAATCGACTGTTTTTTAAATCCACGACTTACACTCCGAAGCATTTTTTTTTCTTTTAAATGTAAACATGATTGATATTGTTTTCCCCTAAAGCACATACAATCGTGGACAAAAGTCCTTGGGATACTTATGTAACATAATGAACTAGTAGTAATCGTAGATTGAAGGGTGCGTTCGAGTTTTGGTAGGCTTGGTTTGTTAAAAAAACGAAAATTCTAGGGAGAAAATTTTGTGCCTGAGTTGTTAGGTAGGCGTGGAATTGGTCTCCCTTCAGCAGGGGCGGAAACAAATGAATTGCTCGCAAAGCACCTGCATACGAGAGGGTTTGTTCTCGTTTATACATGTATTGTGTAATATTAGTTACGACCGGTCAGTAAAAAAACAAGGACTGCAGTCGGGAGGACGCATTTAGTCCGCAGTCCCCATTTTATACCTGAGTCCGCGTGCGTTTTATGCCCAGTCCGTAATGCTTAGTCCGCGTTTTCTACATAAGTCTGTGTTTTATACCCAGTTTGTAGTCCGTAGTCTGCAGTCCGCAGCGCGTGTTTTATACTGACCGTGTAAATCGATACCAACCATGTTTGTTCCGTCGGTATGCGAGACGACGTGCTTTTAGTACCAAAACTAGGGCAATTATTTTGTTTACGAACACGACTTTGAATCGCCTTGGCTTTGGGGTAACAGCTACAGGGCATTTTCACTTCCGAAACAATGAAACGGAGGACATGTTGGTGTACCAAAGCAACCCTGTGAGTGTTGAACTCATATCCTATGTAAACACTTTCGTTGAGTTTACGTTACATAGTTTGCGCACAGAAATCTGGGCCAGCGAAGTGAAACTCATTTCTTCCTTTGATTTATTCAGCAGAAAGCAGCGTAAACGTTACAACTTATCCGCTAGTCTTCAGTAGGCTGCCTCGAAAAGTCGTACACATTTCGTGAAGACATGTCTACAAGGTTTTTAAATGCCATTAACACTGACTTCGAACTTTAAATAAACAACTTCACTATCCGCTGCAGTCCACAATAAGCTTCCTCGACACCTGAAAGTCCGAAATCATGATATTGCACAACACTCGAAAGACAGCACATGGACATGACATCATTCGCCCCTGAAGACTTTTTTTTCGTTTTTTTTGGGGCGGGGGGGGGGGGGGCAAATTGGTGTCCCCCGATAGATAGATTGATAGATAGATACACAGATCTCGAATTTTTATGCATTACGCGATTAGAACTGCGTTCTGTCGAACGCATTTTCCCGTGTTTCACGACAGAAGTTTGAAAAAAGCGCGCTGTCCTTTTAAAATCGCGATGTTGTGTCCCCTCCCCACCCAATACAATGTTGAAAACTAGGAGAAATTGCAGATACTAGTTTTCAACATTGTATGTGTGGCGTGGGGCGAGGTTAGGCAGGTGAAGTTGTATTCGCGTCTGGCGTGTGCGCAAAAGCGCCAAAAGTGCAAATTTGTCCCAAGACTATTGTCCACGATTGTAGGCTTATCAAGGGGGATTACAATATTACAATTTTCACTTCATTTATTCAGGCTCTCACACAAACACACACATAAACTGAACAACACAACAATTGCACTGAAAACGAGTTAAACTTAGATATATAGAGATATACTAGTGGTAATCAGAGACAAGTGAAGTGCGTTCGATACCCGGGGGGAAGGGGAACTCTGGGAATTTGTCAACGGGATGTGTTGCTGGGAACATGAAATTTTTGGGTTAAAACAGAGGATATTCAGTTGGTATTTGGACATCTGATTGTAGGTTGAGTACCAGAAATACCTTCCCTATTAAAATTACATACCATAAATTTGGCTATTTAAATAAACTTAATAAAAAATCAGAAACTCCAATTCTTTCTATATCAAGATTCCCCATTGTTCACCAAAATCCTGATTCCTATACCCACAGTAGACTGCTTGAAAAGCTTACCCTTAACAGCAGCGCATATTTAAGCCCATTTATGTCATTTCCCTTCCAGGGTTTGCCGAGTTGTGTATTTTTAGGGGAATTGTTTAACTTTTGTGTCATTTATTGGCATCATTTTATTGGCGCATCATTTAGTAAGGTTACGTATTGTGTATAACTATAGAAAAGAATAACAGTATATTGCACTTTATTTCCAAATATGACCGTTTTTACCTTATATGTACACCCATTAGCTTACGTGCAGTGAAGTTCCTTGAGCGGTGTGTATTTCCATTTCCTTTACGTCGTTTGTTGTGCTACATTGGAATCTTCGCAGTCTTTCACAAGGTTAGTGAAGTTGCGCTGATAAGCCTGGTTCACACTAGCGACATAACGACATCGTCACGAACGACATAAAAAGGACGTTATCTCGACGTAAAAAGGACGTTATGTTTGTAGTGTGAACATGTAGCAACATAACAGCATGAATATAACGACATAAAGATAAAACTGATCTTTTCTTTATGTCGTTATGTCGCTAGTGTGAACCACGCTTTATTCGAGCTATTACAGTCGAGCCTTTATTCTCGATTATTCCCACAGAGAAGTTGAATCGCCGAGGAAAGCAGCTGACTTGACAGATCACAAATCCGTGTGTTACCAACGCAGTTTCGGAGAAAATACGGCACTACACAGCTTTCTGGTGTTCAGATAAGTACCTTAAGCCATTTTAGCTAATAGTAGTTCGAATAAATCAACACAACTCCATTAACCTTGGGGAAAACTGCGAAGATTCCCGCGTAGGACAATGAACGAAGAAAAGCACATGGAAACACACGACGTCTGGGTAAACCAAAGCGAGGCAATGCATCAGACCGAGGCCATGTGCGCCAAACGTACCAAGATACGTATTTCCGTATCCGGGAGCCAACCCGATCTACCAAAAATCGAGTTGTTTTTTTCGCTCAGGCTTTCATGCCCAGTTCTATTGCGCGTTGAGTTTATGTTCCGTTCTCCTAAAGGTCCGGTAATACGGGCAGCATTTTTCTTCAACTTGTCTCGCAACATTGTTGTATTGCAAGTTGAAATCCTCTGTTGCGCGTATTACCACGTGCGTGACCAACTTGTCTCGCAGCAAAATATAGTGTTGCAAGTTGAGGCGACGTGTGGCGAAAAGTAGACTTGAGTTCTACTTTCTGCAACAAATTTTAGTTTTGTTGCTCGTATTACCACTGAAGCTTCTCCTTGCCTCGCAGCAAGTTTGAATTCAACGCTTGTGATTGGCTGTCAGCGGAGCGCGGCTTCGCGGCAAATTTTAATAAAAAACATGGCGGATGGAGAAGACGAGATAGAAGCTGTTGAAGTAGACCAGAAACTCTCAGGAAGTCAGAAATTTGCCCTATACAAAGAACTCGAGGGCTATCGTAGCCTTTGGGACACCTCCTATGTCCCTTNAGATAGAAGCTGTTGAAGTAGACCAGAAACTCTCAGGAAGTCAGAAATTTGCCCTATACAAAGAACTCGAGGGCTATCGTAGCCTTTGGGACACCTCCTATGTCCCTTCAAAAAACAAGCAGCAAAACAAGCAGCAAGAGGAAAAATGCCTGGAGGAACTCTCACAAAAATTCAACTTGTCGCCGGCCTATCTGAAACGACAGCTTCACACGGCGAGGACTTCGTTGGCACGGGAAATTAAGAAGGAAAGTGACGACCAGAAGTCCAGGTGGAAGTTCTTCGAAACGTTAAGTTATATGAAAGAAGATGTTCTTCGTTCGCTAAGGGCAAAAGAAGAAAGTGAGCGGACGGAGAACGAGACAGAGCAGTTGATAGAGTACCATAAACAAAATGACATCCTATGGAATTACAGGCTCTCATCCTACCAAAACAGAAACTTGAAGGAACTGAGCTACACAAAGCTTTCCGAGCTTCTCACTGGTAGAAGCCACGACGACATTAAAAATCGGTGGAATGTGCTTAAGACCATTTTTAACCGAGGTCAAAAAAGAAGACAGCAAGGTCAGTGGAACCGGTGCGGACGTCGTGTACACATCGCAGTGGAAATATTTAAAATCTTTGATGTTTATCAAGGGAAGTGACGACGTCGACCCTGCTGTTTCAACACTTTATCCTACAGAAAATGAGAGACCGGCAAAGAAAATTAAAGCTGAGAAGGCGAAAGATGTTGAAGAGGTAGCTATAGACGTTTAATTTATTGTAATTTAGGCAAAACGAAGAGCGTCCTTAAATAACTCTTCCTATTTCACTCTTCACCTTCACTTTGGTAAGTAATTGTTAATTATTGTTATTATTATTGAATAAGGTAAAACTGGATCTTTACAAAGAAGCCATAAAATGCCGGCAGACCCCTTTGCCACTTGCAATTGGTCAGCCAAATGTGGAAAATCGTAACGATTCCATCAGTACCATTGTAAAATCGCTCAAGTCTACATTACGACAGTTTTCTGGTTGCCACCTGGCTATTGCTAAGAAAAGAATCAACGATGTAATTTTTGATTTGGAAATGGAATGCTTTACTCCACAATCCACACCTGTATCTGCAAGCAGTCCTCAGTCCACAGTCCATTTTTTCGTTTACTTTAAGTTATTAGAATATGTAAAAAAAAACAAAAACAAAGTTTAACCTTCTGTTGTCACTAAATTTTAATTTTCTTCACTGACACTTTTAACCTTTTGTAGTCAACTTAATTTTTTCAGCACTGTCTGGGATTAATTAACATGGAGGTTAACATCTCTTGTAAGAGCAATTTAGCATGTCTTCGTTCTCGTAGTCATAACTTTGGGTCTCTTGAGCTGATTTTCCTGTTGAGTGCCCTAGCTAATAAGCCAGACATTTAAATACTGAAGAAATGTACCCTTCAAAATGAGGTCATTTCTAGTAAAAAAATTATTACTGACATTTTATTAAAACATATTTGTATGTATTCCTTCATACTTTTTTAAAATGGCATGATGTAAATTATGTCCATTTCCTAAAAGATATATGGTTACAAATATACACTCTTCTTAAAAATATTTTATTTCATTAAATATACCTTTCCAAAATGGTACACTGATACTTATGAGGATCTTGAAAATCTCATTTCAAATAAGTTATACAGTTAATTAAATAATGAAATAATAAATAATATGAATAATAATGAATAATAAATATTATATTATATTACGTGTGAAACTGTGAAAGATAAAAAAATTGTGGTTCTAGCCACAAATTTGTAATTTTCTGAACAACAAATATCAATATCATTATGGATTTCTGTACAGATAGCGAACACACTGTTTTGTCACGAATCTAAGTGCCTTGATACAGTTATTGACATGAACCGTGTGAGAGTAATGGAAAATCATTCAGCAAAATGCTCAAATCTAATCTTCCAATATTATTACGAACTCACAGAAAATATGTTATTTCTTTATACACCATAAAATGGAAACCACAAGACATGACATTTTTAGATAAAATTATCAATATAAGAAACTCACAATATTGTTCCTAAAAATTCAATTCTCTAGCAAACAAGACTGCCAGCTACGGAGGGCACTATGAAAAGAACCTGTGAATTTCATA